CCAAGTTGCTAAACCAAGGTCAAAGAACTTCTATACAACATAAGGAGACCGCGACCACATCAAAGGCCACACCATCTTGGTCTTTATACCTTCATAAATCATTCCGGTTATAGTCATATGATTATTTCCTAGGCAAAGTATTTCATCTGATGAAAATATATTGAATAAGAAACCAAGCGACTTTAAGCAATTTGCAAAATTAATAATTAGATATTTTAAAATTGCTGTTACAAATATACTTGAAAAATGACCCGAATTTAAAATAAAATTAACATAAAGATTCAATTTTCAGAAATCAAGCATTGGTAACTTATGAAAATGGAATATCAGAAGCCATTTTCTGCTCAGATCCAGAAATTTAAATAGCCCAGAATACAATCGAGGTAAATTAGGAACATCCTCGCTAGTCCTACATCCCATCCAGCCCGATGCATGATAATTTCCAGAGTCGGATCGTAGATGTGGTACATTCCCCTACGATGTCGGCAAAACGTAGGTCCGACTTTGGAAATTATCATGCATACAATGAACTCCGAACTAGGCGCGTTCTTCTTACTCTTCCTACTTATATGACCAAGTTGAGAAAACAAGATCAAAGAACTTCTTAAATGAATCCTTTTTGCAGGAGTATCTACCTTATTTACTGCAAATTAGGAACAAGCCAATCTCAAATATGAACAAGTAATTAGTCAATTTGTTACTTACTTAAGGATGACTATGTCATGCCAAGTCAAGGCAATAAAAGCAAATACATTTATAATGACCCAAATTAATCAAAATAATGGCTACAACTTATATTTTTCAGATTATAAATATTCGATTTCTAATACCTAAATAGTAATCTGACAAAAGTTAACAAGAATCATATTGTTAAAGATACACAGGGCTAGAGAGCAGCTTTATTTAATCGGATTTCATGCATTTGGGAAGAACGCTTTATCTCCTAACTAATCTTACTCGACTTTCTATCCTCTATTATCTCAGTTCATTATGACCCGATTAGCCTCTTAAGGCGAAAATGAGTATCATTATGCCAATGCAAATAACTGGTTCCATTTGGTGGGAAATTCATTTATGCCTGCTAGAGCTCTGTCGACTGACTAATTCTTTCAACTTTGCAAGCGTTTGGCACTTTTTCAAGTTCCTCTAGAGCATTAATTAGGTCTGATTATAGGTATAGGCTACATTCACCCCAGATGACTTGTGGGCACAATAAGATCTGTAAGTAAATCAAACTGAGCTATAAATCGTTAGGGCTAATTTAATTATCTTGATCAACGTAAGAATAAAATAATAAATGGGGATAAGGTTGATTTCTCTCAATTATAACGTTATTTTGAATACAATCGCCCATTTGCTCCCGGTAGAATATATATGCTTTTAGATATTTGTATGAGACAAAGCGCAGGACCTAAATTTTTCTAGAGCCTACTGCCCCTGAATATCAAATCATTTTACATTCACACTCACGTATTTTCCTGCAGAACCCCGAAGAGAAAATAGTGACTAATACCTGTTTCGTGTTTTTGTATCTTTCAGTATATTTTAAAAGGCGTATTTAAGGGATTTTAAATTAGTTGGAGTCCGAAGTAGGAGACGTGATTTGATTTACTCTAAAAAGCCTTGGACTCAACTGTGATTCGTGCGACAGTGAGCCAAGGGTTTCTTCAAAAAACTTCACAGTCACAGCTATAATCCTCTCTCGGTTTACAAATCCCTTCAATCTTCTCTCTGAACAAACAAGAATATATCAAAGGATTTCTCAAGACCCAACTTCTCATCAGATAACTCTTGTTTACATACACTTTTGAAGCAGATGAGAATTAATTTTCACTTGCCCTCTTCACATTAATACCCAACCTTACATCCTGGGAGAAACGTTGGCCTACTTGTGCTAAGGCTGGTATTCACTTAAGCCGACCAAAAAGTTGTGCCCTTGTTTCAAATTATACGAAAAAAAATTTTAAGTTATGGGTGCAAGAATGCTAATTAATTTTTTAATCACTATTTATCCTCCTTGAAACGAGCTTCGAAAGTATTCGAAACTATTTACGCCCATTATTCCATTAACTGAATTGGTCAAAACGCTTTCGCGAGAAGTAGTTTAAAGTGTTGAGCTGAGGTTTAAGCTTGGAGAAGCCAAGCTATATGCTCCCAGATTAAACTGGGCTAAACTGGGCTAGGCTGAATAGGCAGTTAGTGTATTGCATTAATTTAGGATTTTAGCGAAAATTGCCCAATATCTTGAGGGTCATCATATCATCTTCCAATTGTGTGTATTCTATCGGCCTGGCATTTAGACACAATTTTATACATCTCTATAGAAGTCATTTCTCACCCTCAAATACATTCTGCAGATACGTGATTGGCAGGCCACAGATTGTCACGAGCAGATCTGCAACTGACAAGTTGCAAATGAACAAATTCGTGGAGGAACGCATCTCAGGGTTGCGCACCACAGTTGCCAGGACAAAGCTATTGCCGATGATGGAGAGCACAAAGACGGTTGAATAGAGCACTCCGAGTAGGACAACTACCCAGAGCTCGAAGCGAAGCCTGCCCTGTTTGAGCGAAGGGCTGCACCGCTTGTCTGTGTCCGTCTGGGAGATGTACAGATCTTGCTGATGAGATGGCGTCAAGGCTTCAAGACTGTACTCTCCAGCTGGCTCAGCAGCGAAGACAGCTCCGTTTAAATGGTGTAAAAGAATAAAGCTACCGAGCACCTGTAGCAAGAGACGGAGGTTCATCTCACCTCGGCATGGCCACTGGCTAATTACCCGCATTTCTCAATGCTTTTTCACTTTTGTGTTTGTCTGTTTGTGTGTGTGAATGAACAAATTCGAGAGATTTAACTGATTGCAGGATTGATTAAGGCTTCACTCTATCTTTTATTTATTCCATAAGTCTGCTGAGATATAGTTCAATCCTATTCTTGTCTCCATAATCGACAATAGAATCTGATTACATTCCAAATAAATGATGCCTTATTTATTTCACTTTTATTAATCCTGAGTGTAACCGCAAAATTCATAATTTCAGTCACTTTTAAGGTTTCGAACATTGAGGCACCCTTATTGTAAGAATTTAGACAGGCTTTTATTGGATATTTTCTATAATTATTCTGATTGGCTGATCCTAAAATTCCTTGGGTATTGCATTATACTGACATTTCATGGCCAACTGCATGTGATTGACAAATTTAAGCGAGGTATCATTTCATTAGGTACTGATAAATCATGAAGCAGGACCAATGGAGACGTTGGTCAAGCTTTGAGTCAAGTTGCGATAAATGAATGTGGATTATGACTCGAAGGTTTGATAGATTTTGTACGGAAAAACTGATATACAGGTATGGCTTAGAGTTGATGATGACAGTAAATCTTTTGATGCAATTCAACAAGGTTAGAGGCGGGAGAGCTTTAAGATAGGGTACTTGCAAAGAATTTCCTCCATTTTGATACCCCAAGTTTCCCTTATTTCATTCTGACGATTATGCGCTGCCCTAACCCGGACCCAACTCCTTTTATGAGATAAAGTGGGAACAAAAAGCCGGTACGATTTCGCGACTGATGAGTAACAAGGCAGACAATAACATTCTCGAAACGAGGAAGTGCAGATAGCAAGCCATCTAGTACAGAACGATTAACAAATATTCGAATGGGAAAAGGCTAAAATGAGGAAACTGGGTCTGAACTAAGCCGGTAGCGCTAATGATACAGGATAAGGGCATGAGGCAAGTTGATTCTGGAAGAGAATTAATCATCAAGTGCAATATTGGATGCAAATTCTTCGCGAAATCAAGAATTCACCCATAGCATATCACGCTCTCTACGCAAGTTAATAAAAGATTCGTTGTAAGTTTACAACTTTTACTCGGGCAAAACTCTTCACGGAACTTTACTTGCGATTTTAACGGTATTGCTAGAGGAGAAAAAGCTAAGTGGCTTCTTTATCATTCAAATAGTTCTTCAGTTGTAACTGAATTGAGCGTGATAACAAAATATAATTAGAAGATCCTAACAAAATGTGCTAATAACCTTTAGTAATACCTTTTAGGAGAAAAGCGAATATCACATGTCATATGGGGGCGTATTTATATCGTTGTGGAGAAATTCTAGTATTATCACCTTACTAGATTTAGGGTGAATACAGTTTTTATTCATTATCCACTCAATATGAATATAGTTTCCATTACTATGTATAGGACTAGCCACTATGCCGATTACTCATGGCTCTCAGTTGGCGTGTCAGTTGGGCATTCTTTGTCATTTGGAATTAATTATACATCATCTTGATCCCCATTGCCATTTTATGTTTGTGACTTTATCTCAGGTTTAGAAACGATTCTCCATTCACCTCTAGTTTCGCCAACAAAAATGATATCATAAGTGACACCTCGTGGATTGAGCCCATGTGAGATGTGAATAATGTTTCTATTGTGGACTGTGCGATGATGATATCACCACGCCTTTTCATCCCTATGGCCACATCGATTCTTTAGTGTTGACAAAACTTGCGCCGAATTTTCGAATAGACTATTTGACTCTTCTAACCCGCATTTATTTTAATTAATGTTGGGAAGAGGAAACTATAGGCCTTTTCTCTTTATCTGAGAAGGACTTAGCCACATTCCTTCACTGTTTTCACATACTTTTAGACTAGGCCATAAGCCAAATTGTGGGTGGCCAGAGGTTATTTGTCAATAAACCTGATATAGGTATTAATGTAAGTGGGGTTTCCAACTTAAAAAGAAAAGTTTGATAGGAAGGCTTTGTAGATTGACCTCACGGAAACCCGTAATAAAATTGGCTTATAAACGTTTCCATTGATTTTTGAGAAGTCTTATGGATTCGGTATGAACAAGATCCATCCGTTATAAGCCTTCTTCTCTCTTGCCGGAACACACATCGCCAGGGCCGGAAAATATCCCAAACTCAAAATGAAGAACGGTGGCAAGCTACGCTCTTACGTGCCTCTTATTATTCAATTTTGCGATCTTGATGTGACATCCAATAATTGTGTTGCCTACTTCATACTAATAGTCGTATTTGAGTAGGGTTTCGAGACTACCAGTAAATCAGTGTAATGAGATAGGGTGAATAGATCTCATTACACTGATTTACTGGTAGTCTCGAAACCCTACTCAAATACGACTATAAGTAATGTTGTTGATTGCTATAGCAAAACATACGTTTGCTTCATCGGCACTCCCACCAAAAGAATATGATATAGCAGAGGCC